GTGTATGGTAATAACACATTATATAAAATACGGGAGAAGATTTTAATGGCACATTTAAGAGGGTAATACCTCGATAGTTTGTAACATTCGAATCTCCTTTTTTTAAAATGAGACAAATGGAGCCCTCTTCCCATTCAATGGACATATGCTCCTCAGTCCAAATATTAAGTATAATCAATCAGTTCAGGTAGATCCATATTCATAAGTTCTGCCTTAATACTATCTGGGCCTGCATATTTAGATTTTCAATAGCTTTCCTCACTTCATATAAGCATGGTGTGTCAGGTTCCAGAGTTTGATCATTTTCAGCAACATTCAGGTTGATAGTTAGATCAGCCTCCTCCATTGGAAGATCACTTCCACAGAGAAGATTTCTGAAGAACTCTCTCCATCATTTTAGCACTTCAACTCATCACTTGTAAGCTCTCCATCACCTTTTCTACAGGTAACAGTCCTGGGACAGGCAAAGTGAGATAGAGCACTGATTTTCTGTTAAAATTTTATCGACTCTTTTTTTGTGTTTTTAATTCTTCTATTTCACCAAATTGTTCCTCCATATGTGCTTTCTTTTTCATACGAAACAGTTTTTTCAACTCTTTATAATTTTCCTCTGATCCTCTAGTATATTGTTTTTGAATCATAAGTTTATAAGCTTTTTCTCCACAGTAATTTTTTCACTATCACAATCATAGCATCCACATCGTTTATTCCTTTTCAGTTCTGATATAACTTCCCTTGTAGTATTCTTATCACATTTCAGTAGCTTTTCTTTTTATTTATTTCTGTAAGCTTTCATTCTGACAGGTTTGTGCAGTGAGTCAACATCCAAGACTGCATCTCTTTGTTGCCTATTCCAAAGGGCCTCGCTTATCCTTCCTTTCAATCTGGAAATCACCAGAAAGTGATTGTGAACATTGGCTCCACGATAATTGAATAAAATTGACTGTTACCTGTAGAAAAGGTGATGGAGAGCTTACAAGTGATGAGTTGAAGTGCTAAAATGATGGAGAGAGTTCTTCAGAAATCTTCTCTGTGGAAGTGATCTTCCAATGGAGGAGGCTGATCTAACTATCAACCTGAATGTTGCTGAAAATGATCAAACTCTGGAACCTGACACACCATGCTTATATGAAGTGAGGAAAGCTATTGAAAATCTAAATTTAAATTAAATCTTTATTTGCATTGGTTTTATAGCATCCTGATGCAGAAATGTAAATTAAAAAATCAAATATTAATGTATTTCACCACATAAAATTTAAATTGTATGTGTCAGTAAAATTTTAGAAAAAAAATTAAAACCTTGGAATCAAATGCAGACTTTGATGTTAATAGAAAATAGGTTTTCTGCTATAAAATACTTTGTAGAAAAGATCAGGTACAACTTGAATTGTGACTCTACTCTGTATGACCTTTGAATAAAATAACTAGACATTAGAGCGGGAACTTGTTTAATTCTAAAATACATTTCTTTCTATTACTCACTATGCTACGCTAAATTTTTGGTTATTTTAGTAGTTTAGACCAGTTACTGCCACAATTCAGTATAACCAGTGTTTTTAACCACAGTATCAGAATCTTCAAATCAGGCCCATTGTTGAAGATTCCAGTTATTGATATTCTCTGCACAAATGTAGTGTTTATAGCTCAAAATGGACATTAGTCTTGAAACGGCATTTTGTGCTGAATCACTTTTCAAATTTTTGTCACCAAATATTATTTTCCTTTATTATATTTAAAGAAATTAAATTATGAAGAATCTGTGTGAATGTTTTTCGCATTGTGAAAAAGCAGTGGTACCTAGAGCCATGAAATTTTGAATAACATAGTCCTCCATCCGAACTTGTGCACATGGGAACCAAAATGTTGAATTTCTAATTTTTTATTTCATATTTTATAAAATTTTAATGAATTTTTGATTAACCCATGAGTGCATAGGTGAAAAAAAATACCATAAATACACAGGTTGTGTCTGTAAGACCCATTATACTTTACATCAGATATATCGTACTCGCATCATTTTTAAATTAAAACAACTTTATCTTCTTTTAGTTAAACGAATTTATGACACTAAAATTCTAAAATAGATCAACAGTATAAATTTTTTATATTTATGTGAGCTTTGTTTTTTACAACAAAGGTACCTTTTTAGACATTGTAATGATCTTTAACACAAAATAAAATAATTAAAATAAAGTAAGCATTTGATAAAGGTTTTTTTTTTTTTCCCCCCATCGTTGACGAATAGCTCATTCAAAGCGATGATTCATATATCATTTTTACATTCATTACCCCCCCCCAAATGCAGCATAATCTCCAAACAACGATATTTTTTTTGAACTGCTCACACATGTATTGAGTTTTTCTGTCTTTACAATAGGCACATCGGCCTTTTTTTTTTTTTTTTCCCCATTTTGATATTCCAACTCTACACTATTCCCAACAGTTTTTGTGCAGCAATATGAATGTTCCTTGGAATGTTTTTGACATTGCTGTTTCTTTATTTTATATGATCTTGTCGAACAAATCAACATGTTGATCAAATCGAACATGAGTTTTTTAAATATGTTCTTCTGCTCTTTGCTTCAGCCTTATCAGTTATATATGTTTATGTATATACTAAACTCAGTTTTAAAAATTGCTTATTGCTACCTGTGCTAAGTTTTATGTTCTTCCAAAAGTTGAAAGAAATGGAATTCCATTTTGAACTACACTATCTGATATAGCTTCATAACCTTTAGCCAGGTATTTGGTTTCTATATTTTCTAACAATGTGCTATAAAATGTTCTTTTGAAATTATCAATTAGTTTAAGATCTTTTTCTTCCCAACATTTGGTTGTGGTTTCTGTTGCGATTAAATCACATATTTTTTCTTTCACGTGTTCTGGTTAAGGAAGCTTAAAAGATTTTAAAACTAGACTTAAGAAATTCCATTTTACACATACTGCAAATGAGGAATTCTTTTCTCTCACATAGATTTCATTGAGTTAAACTTAGATGATGTTCCAAAAGAATTACTGTTGCCGAAGTGAAGGATAGTCCCTTGTATTCAATACTTTTTAATGTTTATATGCTCTATTTTGATCTCATATTATTTAAAAAATTGCCTTTTCGTTTTTGTGTTCATTATGTTGATGACACATTTGCAATTTTAACAGTTAAAAGGATTTTATCTCGTATGAATTTGATTGATTCACCTCATTATTTAGTCTAAATCTGATAATTCGTAAACTTTTCTTTGACATTCTCAACTATCTGAAATGAATTGGATTTCAGCAGTACTGTGTACCATAAACCTAATTTCATTTCCTTACCTCCCCATGCAAAATCATGTCTCCATGCTAAATAAAAATGAGCTATTCCTAGATATATTGTAAAGTTTGTTCTTCTGAATCTTCCTTTTTCAAAAACTTAATTATTTGAAAATTCTGACTATTAATAAAGGATTTTGTTCTGTGGTTATTGATAAAGCCTTTGAAAATTTTTCCCTTGGCATCAGAAGAGACATACTGCTATTAGAAGTAATCACAGTTACTTTTTGCCATCTCATTTTATGCTTCTATAGGCTATTGTTATTGCTTGGTTTTTAATAATTTCATCCTTCTTTTAGTTGTTAGTCCAAAGGGGCTTTATCCATAAAGGACTATTGTTTTCTTTTTGTGATTTTGCATTGACTCACTATAAATGTCCGTTTCACTTTTCAAACTATTGCCACCAAATGTTAGAGTCCTGCATTATATTTGAAGAAATTAAATAATGAAAAATCTGCATAAATGTATGTATATTTCTCGCATTGTGATAAAACAATGGTACATAGAGCCATCGAATTTTGAATGACTTAACCCTCCTACGAATATTGGCATGTGGAAGACCAAATTTGGAATTTGTTTTATTATCGATTTCATATTTTGTAAAACTTTAATGAAGTTTTGATTAACAAACTCAAGGATTTCAAAGCAAGCAATGGCAACACTCTACAGGTGGGAAAAAAAAAACATTTTATCTCCAGCGCACAGAACTGTGCATCGTAAATTCTAAAGATATGCTCATTTTAAAATTATTTTACGACATTGCTATTGAACTGAATTTTAGAGTTTAAGTGCAAATGTTTTTTTTTTTTTTTTGAATTTATATCATTTCTTAACATGAGTTTTATATATATATATATATACCAGCCAAACTAAGAAAGCATCAAAATTTCTCATCAAAGAATGCAAATCTTGTATTATAAAAGGGAAATAAATAAATCTTCTAAAGCTAAACCTAGTTGGTCACAATCACAATTTTTCACTTTGATTCTGTTAAAATTGTTCATAAAGCTTTTCCAATTGATGAATTGGATTTCCTTAAAAGACTTTTATGTTCTCAAAAATTTCATTTCTATATGATATTCATTTCAATACAGGTTTCCTAACTCTTACAAACTTCTAATATTTTACCTTTTTCATGTTTCATCACTGTTTTCCCTTGACAGATAGTGCTGTGTTTGTTTTGTCTTTGCTGTACATATTGCTTTTTCTACAAATTTGTTGTTGCTTCTGCCACTTTTGTAGAAATCCCCCTCCCCAAGAATAGAAAACTGTATCAAATACCTTTGAAATCGATAACCCCCACCTCAAAATCTACATCTTTAAATTTTTTTTTCTATCCTTAATTTTAATTTTTACATTGATATAATTCTCTTCCAGTTATATATTTATGAGTCTCAGTTTTGTTTGAATATTATTTTGAATTAATAAAGCCATTAATTTTTTATTTCATTATTTCCTTATTTAGCCTTTTTTTTAAAGTTAAGCATATAATTAATATAAAGGAAATCTGTTGTGAAAATGTTAAATTTCTGTACATTTCATTTGTCTTAATAGTGCAGTTTATTCCTAATGCACAGGTTATTATAATAAATAGATGTGTATCTTATCCACATTTTGAAAAAAAGTAAAATTTTAGTATACTTTTTGTGTATCAACTATTTATTAGAGTTTTATTTTTTACGATTTGATAGGTTTGGCAAAAGACTACAACGCAATGTAAAAGGTGTCCTAATTGCCAAGCTGCTGTAGAAAAATCATCAGGATGTAATCATATGACCTGCAAATGTGGTGCTCACTTTTGTTGGATATGTGTTCGTCTGTTTCGATCTGGGAATGAAGTTTATGATCATATACATACAGCTCATAGAGGAAATTTATTTACATAAAGAAGACTTTTATATAGAACAGTTATTAACACTAGCCAGAGCTTTTATAATGTGTTAGAAAACTGAAATGAACCATGTTTTTTGTGTGTTAACAAATTGTAGTATTAAGCAGTGTTTCAGATGACCTTTTCTTATTCCTGTTAGTAAATGTTTTAGATGATTTTAATGCAATTTACATCAGTACTTTTTTACATTATATTTTTTATTTATCTATTAGTGGCTATCTAAACAGTTTGGGTAATTGAACGTTTATTATTATTATTACTGCATTGTAAAAAATATTAATATTTAGACATTTGGAGGTTGTTTTTTCTACCTTTATCATGAACAATTTTCAGAAGGCTATTTTAATTTGCATGGGTATTTTCTGCTACAGCATATTTTATAAAACTGTGAAGACCTTCAAATTATATTCATGAAAGTTATTGTAGGAAAAAAGTATTTTTAAACTTTATAAAGTATTTTATTATTGTTTAATATATAAACAAATATTTATCCATGTTTGTGATGATTTTTTAGTCTTTACTGAAGTTTTTTTTTTTTTTTTTTTTACAGCATGTGCAAGTATTAAATTTGTGTTGTGCACACATTGCCAAAGAATTTTTTTAATAGTGATTCTAGGGGGGAAAAAGTATTTTTAAACTTTCTGTTCCAACTAGAATTTCTTAAAGGGATAAAACTACTGTGAATTAAATGACTCAACACTTCAGAACGAAGATATCACACTTTCTAAAGTATTGTATAATTTAAAATAAGTATTTAAAAGTTGATATTATGTTTTTTTAGTCTTTAGTGAAGGCTTCTTTTTTAAAGCTTGTAGTACAAGTATTAAATTTTTGTAATCCACACATTGCCAAATAAAATTTCTTGTTTTATTTAATTAAAGTTTCTTGTTATTTAGCTAGCATTGGAAGCAAATATTTATAATATGGAAAAGTCTGTATTTGTGCAGCAAATATTTCTGTCCTAAATCATGTATTTCTGAATTAGTGATGCATTCTTGAATTATTTTAAGTAACAAACTCCCTATTAAATTCATTGTTTTAGGATTTTCTTGAAAGGAGAGTTTTGTTAAGTAAAAGGTATCATATAATCCTGGTAATATGAGCAATATGAACAATAATGTAAAGCATATATGTTAACATTTGGCCATGGACAGATACCCAACACATTCGTAATTATGCATGTGTAAAAATAAATAAATAAAATGACATATTTCAAAAGATGTGAATGTGTTATTTTGTCTGAAGAAAGATTATTTCCATTCCTGACTCTTAACATTTAATGTGGTGTTGCATCTCAAATGAGACTGAAGAACAGATATTTGTAGAACATGATAATAAGTAATGATTCCAAGCCAAAAAATTAAATCATTTTGCAAGAAGACTTCATTTTCTCTTCAGATTTCATTTGTTCGTAATAAGACTTCCTAAAAAATCCACATCAAATTTTTTTACATATACATAATTATCAAAATGTTTAGTATCTGTCCTTGGTCTAATATCTGGTGATCCAAAAGTGATATATGAAGTAAATATTCTGTATACACAGTAGCGTAATGGTGTTTTTACAAAAATGCAAGTAAAGACATGGTAATTATTTAAAAATAATAATAATGAAAGATTTTATTGCTAAAATAATTTCATTTTTAACTAACAGGGGCTTTGGTTATGTCAGAAGTTCTTACAGTAATATAGCAGAATTCACAATATAGCTAGAATTTATAGATGCTCAGTGTGATAGTTGTTGTTACTCTTGAAAATGGTCATCAGACATGACACTGTGCAAGTATAAAATAGGGTTATCAGCTTAAGTCTTGTCACATGATGATAAATAACATCTTTTAATGTGGCTAGTGATGACAGCCGACTTCTGTCACCTGTGACTTCAAGTAACCTAATAACCAAGCCACAAGGTCTAAGGCATGGAGCCTTGTAGCATTTCATATCAGAACAAGTAACTTAGGCAGCGATGGTGAACCTTTAGCACACAAACCCATTTTAGGTACCACACATCACATATTTGTAGAGCCATCGATGGACAAAAATATTTCATAATACAAAAGTATTTGTTTCTTGCAATGACCTCATCATTGTCAACATGTGCAGTGCTTACCTCGGGTGCTTCCAAGCGCATTCTTGGCAACTTATAACATGGATGGCAGATGGATGATTTCATATGACACGACACCATAATTAAGCTGCTGCTTCCCCCCACACACACACGCTGAGCTCGAAAGGTTTGCCATCACTTTACTGAGGTCATTGTCAAATCAGGGTTGCAGAGGATCTGTGTAAAGGCACATCATCCCATCTTACATGAATTTTGCACTATGGAATATTTGCCTCTTGTACAAGGACAGAATAATGCAGTCTCTTAAAAGCTGTGCTATGATAAAAACAGTTTGAAATGTATTACTATGGACTTTTTTCAAAGAAGAAGAAGCCTATATATAAATCTGCACCCAAACTCAGAACTAGACTTTTTGTTGCATAGTGCAGTCTCTGTGATTACAGGGTTCGTACTGTCCTTAAGAGTCCTTATATTTTTTGGAATTGATTTTTGGTCCTTAAAAGTCCTTAATTTTGGCCAAAATCAGCAGAAAGTCCTTAATTTTAATCATCTGAAATTTCTGTCTGTTATTACGACTGCCATTTTGAGTGTGAATTAGCATTTTGGAGGAATATTTTTTGCCGATTCACTGACATATATGGTTATCTTTTGAATGGGTTCATGGGTTTTAATTTGTTTCTAATATAAAATGATGGGATACTAGAGTTTCTAAGCAAGAAGTGAAACATAAACATTTCGAAATTCATTTTTTCTAATAAAGAGTTCTTAAACAACTTTTCGCTTTTGAGGATGTGAATTCTTTTATTAAACGGTTCTAAATTTAGCGACTTATCAACATTTTGGCAATTTTAAGATCAGTTTCTATAGAAAATTTTTAATTCCGAGATCTGGGAATTTTTCGCCGATTTTTTTTTTAAACATCGTAACATTGATAAATTTCAGTAAAATAATGGTAATATATTGAAATTATATTAAAAAAAATAACATTAAAATAAAACATTTTTATTTTTCGCTGTCATATTATAAAGTTTCATTTTGACAACGTATTATACAATATTTTCAATCTGGAAAATAAACAAGGTATAATGCTATAAAGCACAATTTGCGAAACAGCTCTTAACAAAAGCAAAATTAGCTATTTAATTAATTAAAAATGTCTTCTTTTTAATTTTTTCATAGTAATAGTTCTTCCCATGTAATTGTTTCAGAATATTCAAACTTATTGGAATATGCATTAGTTTTTTCTATAAAATTAATTTTACACTTTTTCCCTCCCCCCCCCCCCCCCCCCACCCAAATATTTCCGGCTTTTGGCTGTTACGAATTGGTAGGGATAATTTTTTAGGATTTTAGACATTGCAGCTTGGAAAGTTTAAAAGGATTTGAAGGCAAGATTTATAGACCAACGATTATAGAAGATTCGAAAAATATGTGACAGAATGAAAAATATCTCTGTGGTATCAACACGGATGTATTTTACAGAAAGTTTGTGATAAATTTCTTACTTTTTGGAAAACGTCTGGAAGAACAATAAAAACAATATTAGAATGTTTTTACTTCTGATACTAGAATCTTTTTCTCAACATGTTTATCTTCCCTTTATTTTCTTTACTTTTTACTAGACACAAGCATGGAAAAATATCAAAAATGCTCCTAATCTTATCACTTGGGCAGGCATTATAGAAAGGGATTTTTTTATTAATAAAGAAATTGAGAACATACAATTTAAAAGATTCATCTAATATGTATTAATGCATCATACACAGAGCGGGTACTAGGGATTTTCCCACCTGATGCAATCTCTGTGGATCCTAAATTCTGCTGCCTAGTGCCTTTTTAAATTCTGCTTTCAATACCTGCTCTAAATTCTAAAAGTTTTGCCATTTCTAGATTTTGTAGTTCCGTGTGTCACTAAATTCTAAAAATTCTGTACCTGGCCTTTACCAGCTCTGTACCTGGCCTTTACCATGTATATTTCATATTTCTTCTGAATATTCATTTTACTAAAGAAATAAAATTATCCACTTTTTCTATATATTCTAAATGCATGTAGTGTTTTTTAGAATAACAGAAATCCTTAATAAAATTCTAAAATGAAAAGGAAACATGTTGTAGAAAGAAACTGAATACATAAAGAAAATTATTCTTCAAAGATATGTGCAGTTATTATTATGTAAATTACCCAATTGTTATGATTTTAGCCTTTACTATAATTTCTATTTCCTCATATGATAGAGTTACTGGGCCAGATCAAATTAAAATTAAATTGTATAATCTTTGACCACTAGTCCACATTTTTAAATTTGAATTTGCCTGTTCGTGTTTAATTACATCACCATGAGCTGTAATTGATAATTGCTAGCATCAGAACATGCCTTCATGTCCTACGTTCTTTTTAAATAAGAGGCTTATTTAATTCTTCATCTGATATTGTAGTTATTTTCAGACATAGCGATAATTTGCTTCATGTATGTCTGACGTTTTGGATTTTTAACTTTTACCAAATCAAGTAAACTCTCATAGGTACATTGTGGAGAGGTTGATAGGTTAGAAGATAAATCATGCAGAAATTAGTGAGAGCATTGGTTTGCATGTTGAGACAAATCTCTAATTCTTAGGAAAGATACTTAAAGAGAAGGAAATCGATATAAACTAGCCAAATTCTAATTCAGAAGTCAAACAACAAAAGCCAAATGTTTGGGAAGGCTTTAAATAAAAATGAAGGATAAATATTTTGAGTGCTGTTGTTACAAAACATTTATGTTTTGTAGCTTTTAATGTGTAATTATCCTAATATCATTTAAGAATCAATATCATAAATTACATATATTTTAAACTGTGAAATTTTATGTGATTTTGATTTTAATAAGTCTTTTTAACAAATATTGTTAAAAAAAATTTTTAATAGTGGCCATGTAAATCCCTAATAACTAAGGTTATCTAACTACATAATTTAATTATTTATAACTAACTGCTTATCCTTAAAATTATCTCTACATATTATTGTATGAATTGTAAACTTATAAGAAGTTTCAATATTATAAAGAATAAGATGCAAAGAGCATCTAGTGTAACTTAAAGTAATACAAAACAACTTATCACCTCTGGTGCTTTAATGGCTTATTGGAACCTTAAAGTACCCCTGGAACTGGGTTACAACCCCTAGAACATGAAGCTACGACATTAACTGCATCAAACAAAGCCTAACTAACTTTCAACACCTGCCAACCGTGCCTACATCTGGGCTTTCAGATTTGTTCTAACCAGTAGGTCTTTCTAGACAAGTAGTAGCAGTGAAAACATTCAGTCTTTTGATATGAATCATGCTGATTATGTATGATCTTACTTCTCATTTTAACCTATGCCATTTGACATAAATCTACCTGCTATTTACTAAACCTCTAGACTGACCAAGTATGTGACAAAATGAGATATTAAAAAAAATCAACATAAAGCTAACTGTTAGTGAAACATAGATGTCACTTATCTTCTTTCAAATATTTCCAACTATTATAAGTGTAAAATGTTCAATGCTACTTGATAAATAGCATAAAGTTTATTTTATTCTAACTTAATAATTATGTTAATAAATTCATGCATGCTACTTAATATGCTACTTAGGGATCTATTTTATTTTTAGGATGGTATTACAAAAGTGAAATTCAGACATAGATAATATTTTTAATTGAATTTATTATTTCCCATTTGCTCATAGGTCCTTAAAATTTTCATTAATGGTCCTTAAAAGTACTTAATTTCCATGTGCAGAAATGTG